ACAAGGTCACCTTTACCTCGTGTATCAGAAGATGATAATGATATCTCCATGGATTAGATCACTAAAGAAGGAGATGGATTCTTTTGTGAAGAAGAGAAACACGAAAAAGAGAGAATGCTTTTAGACTTGAGATGCTTCACATGTTTGAGTAAAGCAAGAAGAGAAATGGAGGTTTATGCTTGATGTAGTTAATTACGAGGAGACAAAAAAAGATTATTTATAGACAGAAAATATTTGGGGTTGTTGTCAAAATTAAATTTAACCCTTATTTTTTAAATTTTCACAAGGAAAATTTGACGTTTTTACCAAAAATAAATTTGACTTTATTTTCCTTTAAAATTCAAAAAACTGGCCAACAAATAAAAATAAAAATCAATGTTTTCCTTCTTTACACAACATTTTACCTCATAAAACAGATCCGCCAAATAAAGTAAAAGAAGAAGTAAATCTGCAAAATACAAAAGCAAAACTGCAAATAATTTCGGTAAGTGCAAATTTGGAATTACAAAATTAGATGGTTACATTATAAGAAAGGCATAAAGAGATTTTTTAATTAAAAAACAATTTAGAAAACAATTTTCCCAACTTGCACTATAAAACAAAAATATTCCAACAAATTAAATTTTGTTTTCTTATAACTAAAATAATTTTATCTCAACAGTTACTTTTAAAAGTTCAATACAAACAGATATAAAACTAATTATGGTACCTAACTTTGTGTGTGAGTCAATGATTAGCTTTTTCAAAAAAAAAAAAAAAAAAAAAAAAAAAAAAAAAAATGATTAGCTTTTTCAAAGAAAATTATCGAGAAATAATTTCCTTTCTTTCTGATACATGCATCAAGGGATTTATTGCGTGAGTTAAATGATACACGTCATGTGTTCACGAAGAAGACCAACAATTTTTTAATTAAGAAGGTTAATAGAAAAAAAAATTCTAAATTTTTGAAATAACTGCCCTAAGCAAGGCCTTAAATATTTTTAGAGCCGGCCCTAGTAAAGAAAACTCGCCTTTCTTTAAAAACTTTGCTTCAGCGCCTTCTTTCCAGTTGCACTGTTCTTGAGGATCTAGTTCTAGAACGTTTAGACATTTAGGGTAAGTGTCTGGTCTTTCCAGAGACTAACCCTAAAGATATTATGAGGTTCTCAGTTTTATGTGTTTGTGTTACACACTCCTTCTTTGAAGCATTTCAAAATAAGGGTAAATATGAAACTGATGGTTATGCCTAACATACGCTGATATCGTTAAGTTTGTTAGATCATCACATCCGTCAAGCGGCTTTCATTATGCGTAAGAGTCAATGCCGAAGAGGTAATCTGTTTCCATCCATGTATCAATCTCATTTTAGAACAATACGTTTTCTTGAGGTTGAATCCTTCGTCATTGTGTGTAGGCTTTATATCCTGAGGGTATTTTCTTCAACCAGCTTAAAAATCTGAAGATACGTCCACGTGATTCAAATTTGTCAAAGCTACTTGTCCGGTTACTTAAAGATTCTCCTAATTTTCGAGAGCTCGAAGTCTCTCTGAATGATGTAAGTTTCTTCGATATCGACCTATTTTTTTGATTTGATTTGCTATAGTATTTAGGCCAAGCTTCTATGATTGATCTCAGGATCATACAAAAACTTGTGTGGATCCAACAGTTTGCTGGGAGAATCAACTGAATTGTGTTCCTAAATGTTTGTTGTCGAGTCTCGAAACTTTCAAATACATGGATCGCGAAAAGTGATGGATTTGGCAAAATATATTTTGAGAAATGCTCGTTGCTTAAAGACAGCGACAATCTTATTTCAGTCTCCTCTAGAGACAGATCCAGGAGTTGTTACTTTCTTTTCGAGGTTCAACAACTCATACTACTATAATGTTTTCAGTTATATGTTAGGACTTTAGTTATGGGATCAAAGATGTAACACATCAAGAATGGTTGGCAACAATAAGAGTATGAAATTTATGCTTCATTGTATAAACCAAGGAAAATAAACTGTACATTTAATATATGTTCTTTGGTCAAGGTGTTTTTGCAGTCTGCAACTCTTACACGACTTTGAGCTATTTCTAGATTCAAGATCCTTGACTACTGTCCTAAGTTTACTAAATTGATTCTGCAAAAGAGATGGGAAGATTTTTTCCAGATGCTGAGAGAGCAGCGGGACGTTTTGCTTCCATTCATTCGCGCTCAAAGGAAGATCGTCCAAGAGAGAGGAACACGAGAAGAGGAAGCTGAAGGAGGACGAGATCGTGAGCTAGTTATCGAAGTTTCTCATCGGTGGAGCTAGTGCAATGGATAATTTCATGGCCCTAGTTAAGCATACTCGACTTTGTTTATATATAGGTAATTGAAGATCTTATTAGGTTTTTTTTCGGTTCCTCTTGTTTTATTATTCCTCGCCTCTGTTCTTCTTGGAGTCATTGTTTTCTATTTTAAGAATTAAGGAGGGCAGATAAGCCATACGAGGAATCTCGTAGATTCTTTGGTAATTATCAAGATATCATTAGGGTTAGTCTCTGCCAAGACGGGACCATTACACTTAACGTTCCAAAATAGTTATATTCATCCCGTTCCACGACTAGATTCTCGAGAACAGGGCAATTAGAAAGAAGTTGGTGAAGAGAATTTGAATCTTTGTAAGTCACCCTTTCAAGGAGCAAATATTTTAAGGAGGGCAGAAAAGCCATACGAGGAACATCTACGAGAATCTCGTCTAAAAGTTTCTAAATCACTAGCGATTTGCAGATATACAAACTACTCGGCAATTTAGTAGGATTCTCCATACGTTAAAAAGGAAAAAGGTTGATGGTTTACTGACCAAAGCAGCGAGAAACAGCAAATACAGTATTATCGTACTCAAGTTTAGGCAACCACGTCCAAACAAATAATAAAATACTTGTGCTTACAACAATTTTAGTTGGAAGAAATAATAGTACCTTCACGAGTAAATCATTAGGTAACTTACTAATCTTGTACATATCTTCATAATCTCCAAGTTTCGTTAGTTTATTTTTTATTGGTTTTAACCAATTTTCTCTAATTGTTGACATAAACACCGACTCTTAAAATAACAGAGCGAGGAATAATAAAACAAGAGGAATCGAAAAAAAACCTAATAAAATCTTCAATTACCTATCTATAAACAAAATCGAGTATGCTTAACTAGGGCCATGAAAATGGTCCATTGCACTAGTTCGAGCACTAGCTCACGATCTCGTCCTCGTTCAGCTTCCTCTTTTCGTGTTAGTACTCTCTCTTGGACGATCTTCCTTTGAGCACGAATGAATGGAAGCAAAACGTCTCGCTGCTCTCTCAGCATCTGGAAAAAATCTTCCCATCTCTTGAATCTAGAAATAGCTCAAATTCGTGTAAGAGTTGCAGACTGCAAAAACACCTTGACCAAAGAATATATATACAGTTTATTTTCCTTGGTTTATACAATGAAGCATAAATTTCGTACTCTTATTGTTGCCAACTGTTCTTGATGTGTTACATCTTTGATCACATAACTATAAGTACTAACATATAAATGAAAACATTATAGTATTATGAATTGTTAAACCTCGAAAAGAAAGTATATATCTACTCCTGGATTATTATCTCACGTTCATTCTCTGTCTCTAGGGAAGACTGAAATAAGATTGATAGATCGATGGAAACAGATTACCTCTTCGGCATTGACTCTTACGCGTAATGATAGCCACTTGACGGATGTGATCGATCTGACAAACATAACGATATCAGGGTATGCCGAACTAATATCTGCCTCCTCTAAGTTAGGCATAACCATCAGTTTCATATTCACCCTTATATAATCCATAATTTTGAAATGCTTCAAAGAAGGAGTGTGTAACACAAGCACATAAAACTGAGAACCTCTTCATATCTTTAGGGTTAGTGTCTGCAAAGACCGGACAGTTACCCTAAATGTCTAAACGTTCTAGAACTAGATCCTCAAGAACAGTGCAACTGGAAAGAAGGCGCTGAAGCAAAGTTTTTAAGATCACTACAGGAAATGTGGGCATTAACAGCGGCCGTTAAACGCTATGAATTAGATATTATAGCGTTTCCTAAACCGTTCTGACAGCGCCCGTTACAGTGCAACTGGAAAGAAGGCGCTGAAGCAAAGTTTTTAAGAAAAGTGAGTTTTCTTTACTGGGCCGGCTCTAAAAATATTTAAGGCCCTGCTTTGGGCAGTTATTTGAAAATTTTAGAATTTTTTTCTCTAACCTTCTTAATTAAAAAAACCGTGGGTCTTTTTTTTTGATGAAATGTGAAATTAATATATGAGTGAAAAGTTATTTACAATAGTGTAAAGTGTCCCTGAGACTTAACAAAAACTGTGGGTCTTCTTCGTGAACACAGGACGTGTATCATTTAACTATGTATATAAATGTTTTTCTAACTCACGCAATAAATCCCTTGATGCATGTATCAGAAAGAATGGAAAATATTTCTCGCTAATTTTCATTGAAAAAACTAATCATTAACTTACACACAAAGTTAGGTACCATTAGTTTTATATCCGTTTGTATTGAACTTTTAAAAGTAACTGTTGAGATAAAATTCTTTTAGTTATAAGAAAACAAAATTTGTTGGAATATTTTTGGTTTTTAGTGCAAGTTGGGATAATTGTTTTCTGAATTGTTATTTTATTTAAAAAAATCTCGTTCTGCCTTTCTTGTAATGTAACCATCTAATTTTGTAATTCCAACTTTGCACTTACCGAAATTATTTGCAGTTTTGCTTTTGTATTTGCAGATTTATTTCTTCTTTTTTTTATTTGGCGGATCTGTTTTATGTGGTAAATGTTGTGTAAAGAAGGAAAACATTGATTTTTTATTATTTTTTTCCAGTTTTTTTAATTTTAAAGGAAAATAATGTCAAATTTATTTTTGGTAAAAATGTCAAATTGTTCTTGTGAAAATTTAAAAAACAAGGGTTAAATTTAAATTTGACAACAGCCCCAAATATTTTCTGTCTATAAATAATCTTTTTTTGTCTCCTCGTAATTAACTACATCAAACATAAACCTCCATTTCTCTTCTTGCTTTACTCATACATGTGAAGCATCTCAAGTCTAAAAGCATTCTCTCTTTTTCGTGTTTCTCTTCTTCACAAAAGAATCCATCTCCTTCTTTAGTGATCTAATCCATGGAGATATCATCATCATCTTCTGATACACAAGGTAAAGGTGACCTTGTTGATGCGGTCAATACTGATGATCGAATCAGCACACTCTCCAAAGATCTATTGCTTAAGATCTTATCGAGCCTGCCTACAAAAGAAGTTGTTAGAACCAGTGTTCTATCAAAGAGATGGGGGGATGTGTGGAAGGAGACGTCTGAGATCTTTATGGACATGCGATATATAACGATATCCAGATATCTTTCCATTGATTTTAGTCCTTATGCCGCTGGATGGCTGACAAAGGTCCATTTCTTTACTCAAAATTTTCTCTTTACAACTTTTTGGATACATTTTTTCACAAATAAACAAATAGATCTGGGAATAAACTGATGATCTAGGTTGGTGTTATATTACAAAACCCTAAGATAACCCATAAATCGTTAATAGATGATCTCGTTTATTCATTGTTGAAGGGAAAAATCAAATTTTAGATAACCAATGAATACATTTTATTTTAAATTTCGCGCATTTATGAAAGAGAAAGGTTAACGCCTTAACGGTATTTGGCGCGAATAGGTGATATTTTCAAATTTTATGATCAATACATACATTAGAAATTGAGTATATACAGTAAATTTGTCATCATTGTAGTGAATAGGAAAAATCTAATTGATCTCTTGCCTTATTCTATCTAGAATAAATACATGCATACACAAAAGATACACCTGTAATTTGCAATTGACTTGTATACAGACTAATTAAATGTGTTGTAAGTTAAAATTTTCTACATAATTATTTGCAATTCAATTGTAAGAAAAGTGGTCCAGGTAGCATGTGTCCTAAAAGATTCCAACGGATTTATACATATATAATAAAGTGATATCTTTATGTTTATCATTTTCAAATATCCTAAATCACTCTTTGCCCTTGTAGGTTATAAACGATCACAGTGGCAATTTCGAACGATTTACAATCTACCATTTCGCATACCAATGTGGATATGGGATGGTCGAGGCGTGGATTCGATCGTTGATTCATGTGAAACATGTCAAGCATCTCACGCTTGTAAACTGTTTTCGTCCTTTCTTAGTAACCTCCATTTTGACACTTGACTTGCCTTCAAAGTCATTTTCCCATCCAAACCTCAAATCACTCCATCTTGGTAGGTATACCTTAAAAGATCCACATGGTTTCGACAACTGCTGGAATCTAAAGAAGCTAAAACTCATTGCTGTTTTCGCCGAGATTGAAGTCTTTAATGTGGTCCTCCTGTCTTGCCCTTCTCTGGAAGTGCTCGTTGTAGACCTTCACTGCCACAAACAAAGTGGTCCTCTGAAAATTGAGAACCTCAACTTAAAGTTCTTGTGCTTATCATGTTCTCAAATTAATGGAATTGAAGTGGCTACACCCAGTCTTGAGATCCTGACCGTCAAATCTCTCTCGTGTGAGATAGAGAACTTTGTCATTGCAAACCCTAACTTCCAGTTTAATCGAAACTATTGGGCAACTGGACAATTATATCCTCACACCAGCTATTATATATCATGCCCTCCTGGTCAGGTATATATTTCTTTTGCTTGCAATTTTATTTTGATAGAGAATATTTTTATGATATTAACACTTAGTTTGACATTTTGACATATATATGAATCTAAGGACAAAACAAGCATTGGGCATGAAGTCATGATGAGTGAACCCAGTGAATATATGAAGGTTTACGCATCAATGTCAGTGAGTATAGACTTAACGAATACCAAAGAGGTAGATATGCTCAAAGAAGTTTTAGCTGCATGGCCCGACGAAATGCAAGAACTCGAGATTTTATTTAAGGTAAGTTAAAATTTCATGTGTTCTGGTTGAAATAGCCAATTATGGTTAACAACGTTGTATCTTTTTTTTTTTGTATATATAGAATAGTAATGTTCCCAGGACAGAAGGTGAGACTCCCATCGGACGAACAAAGAGGAAGTTTTGGGAAGAGACAAAACCGTTTCCCAACGGTCACTTCCGTGTATATACTGTATGGCTGTTTAACTTTAGCGGTTCTAAAGAAGAGTTTGCTTTAGCTTCACGATTGATAACGCAAGGAACAGTGGTCATGACTATGAAAATCCAACCAGCGTCGATTTCTCTAAGTAACAAGTTAGAGATAGAAGCGGCAGTGACCAAGCTAAAAGAACTTCCAAAAGGTCACACAGAACTTAGTATCGTAATGTTCTGATGGAATTTGGTTTAATCTAGCTATTGGTGATATAAAGAGAAAACCCTTTGTTATTTGCTTTTTTTTTTTTTTTAATTTGGAAATTATGTGGTTTCTACTTACAAGTACTGCTTTTGGCATTAGTTTAATTAATTGTTTCAGATATTTGGGATCTAATTTGTATTTTATTCTGATTTTCTTGATGGATTATTTTAATTTGCATTTGATGATCTTGTGGGTTCTCATAAGAGACTTCAATCAGATTGGGTCTTTGACATAGTCCTCATGTTTTGCCCCTTTCTCGAAGTGTGTGTATATCCTAGCAACGGAAAATGTGATCTATTAAAGATTTAAAACAAATTCATTGAAGTGTTCTTAACTACTTATCTAGTCTGGATATATATCCTTTTCATATTGTCTATAACTACTTAAAGTTTGAGTATTTTCTATAACTCCGGTAGGGAAGCGGTCCAGTTCGACTGGGCTCGTCATCCAGTTAATGAGCTGCAATGACCTCGTCAGTCCATTGCAAACCAGGTTCCGCTATTCATCATCGGAGGGTAGTACACGCATAATCTTCGTTAATTTTTTACACTTTTTTTTGCCTCACTCGCACTAAGACATCGTCAAAAAAAATTAATATAAAAAATATTTAAAATAAACTTTAACAATAATTAATGCAAATTGAAAAAAAAAAATTAATGGTAGTTCATTGAATTTTCTTACATAATTTCTAAGTTTATACACTTATTAATTTCAAAAATATCAATAAAACTATACATTATACATGGCTCTCAAAAAATTATTATTTTACTATTTTTTTAATTATCTCAAATATTATAAAAGTCCGACTCGAAACAGAAAAAAAAAATTAATTTATATTGATTATTAATTTGTCAATTATTAAGTTAAAGAGGTTTAATGGTAAAGTTTATTGATTAATATGTTAACATATAAGTCTCTCTGAAAATGTTGAGATATTAAAATCAATTGTATTAATATGTTTATTCAACGGTCAACAAATGCTTTTTGGAAAGACTTATTAATAAACATATTAAAAAGCATTTTGGTCAACGCTCGTGAACAAAACTATTTTTGTTCCTTAATTCAAGAGCGTTGACCAAAATGCTTTTTAATATGTTTATTAACATAATTGTAAGTCATCACAATGACTTCGTGGAAGCCAAGAGCTTTTCTAAATCTGAAGATTTAGAAATCGAGAAGAGACTAAAGACTATCAACAAACCCGCAGTCAAAATCATCAAGGTTTTTATATATCTTCACAATCTTGCTGTTATTCTCTATATATTATACAGTTAATATCTTAACCTCTATATATATATGGCATTAAATGATAGACTATAGATGGAGAAAGATACGGATGTGTGGATTTCTTCAAGCAACCAGCATTTGATCATCCTTCAATGAAGAATCACACATACCATTACAAGGTATAATAACTTCTGATCAGCTTTATTTATTCTTGTATAAACATAAAGAGATAAGGACAGTAATATGTTTGTGTTCGACATGTCTTAGATGCGTCCAATCTGGAAAGGAATGAGAGAAAGAAAGACAAACAATACTGCTTTTGGTTACTTATGGGAGAATGGTGTGGGTTGTCCCATTGGTACGGTCCCTATACAAAGAGTCACCAAAGACGATCTTTTGAGATTAGACTCATTTGTTGATAATTATAAACCTCGTGGTTCTTGGAACACTACCACTTATGATCCTAATAGTCCTTTTCATCCAAACCACCATCATGTAAGTCGCTTCTTTTAATTAAAAAAAAAAAATCATCAATTAACATTTTGATATATTTATAATGATAATATTCTTGGTCATTCAATAAAAATGAATTGGATAAGTTTGCGGTAGCTCGAACGAAGAACATAGGAAAGAAGTTCAATGGAGCAACGACGGCACTTTGTATAACCGCTCCTAAGGTTAAGCCAACCCAATTCAGTAATTCTAGACTTCACATGCAGATGGGAAGGGATTTCGTCCAAGCCGGTTTGACTGTAAGTCTCTAAGTTTATTTAATTTGCACCGAGCTACGAGTTCTATTTACTCAATAACTTTTGAAAACATGTATTAATAAATAATTTTAATAACACAAATATTATTTACTAATTCAGGTAAATCCAGTATTGTACAAGGACATGCAACCTCGGACTTTCGTCTTTACATCTGTGAGTCAGTCACATTATGCTAGTAAATGTTTTTTAAAATATATATATGAACTAATTAACATTGATGGAACAGTCAGGTGGAAGATCATGTTACAATAACAACTGCGACTCTGGAATAATAGTCATTCGTCATGACTTTCCACTTGGTATGGCGCTGCCAGCGTCTATTCGTGGTGCTAAGACAAGTAACTATGGAAAGTTCAGTATAGTCAAGGTTTTTCTCTTTCTTAATACTACTATTTGCTGACAAATAATACACTATTTATTATATAAGAATAAGAAAATTCGGTTGTGAATAATTAGGAGTGCGACTAACCATTCAAAAGTTCGACAAACATAAACGTGATGTCTTAATTTACCTATTATTTTCTCGTAACAGGACACAAAATATGGTTGGTGGTATCAATATGGTGTTAAGCCAGTAGAAATTGGACTTTGGCCGGAGCGTAGGTTTCAACAAAGCTTTCGAGATTTTGTCGAGTGGGGTGGAGAAGTGTACACCGCATCACTGCCGAGTCCTCAAATGGGATATGGATATTTTCCAATTCAAGATATCAGTTATTGCCTTAATTATGTTTCTTTAAAACAAGGTATCTTATTTCTCATGAAAAAGTGTAATCGAATGAAAAAAGTGTCTCCATAAAGTGCATTCTTATTTCTCATAAATAGACGTTTATAGCATTTAACTCGCTTCTAACTCGGTTATATCTGGGCTAACCATTTTATGGTGTAGTACTTTTGTTTATCCAAGGAAATGTATATCTTTTCTACATTCTCTATGAAGCTCCTTCCTCTGTCAAGCTCAGTAAAAGGGTCATCACTCAACAAGAGTTACCTGGTACACTGTCACATTCTCGAAAGAAGAAGATGGTTTGGGCCTAAGAGATTTTAACTACTCTAATAAAGCATGTGTATTCAAACTCATTTCGTTACTCTTATTAAAAAAATTAATCAAGTTCTGGATACTAAAACATTAATACCAAATGAATTCTTCCCATGAAAACAAAATTTTGAAAGTTAGAGATTCCTTGTTTTTTGGATCATATTAAAGGTTGGATATGGAAGAGATTGCTTATTTTATAGCCTACGGACTAAGACGAACCATTGCATGCCTTCTCCTTAACAACTTCAAACATCAGACTCAATCGTCACCATAATAGATCGCATGATTCGAAATCGTGCATCTAGCTAGCCTCTGTTACAAGAAACTTTGCATTTGCTGACCATCTCTATTGTCTCTACGCCTATATTGTTGAATCTATGGTTGTCCTGAAAATGCTAGATCAAGTGAGCTAAAATTCAACCATCAATAGAGATATTGTTAGTATATTGTGATGATGTTGACTTTTGTAGCTGCTAAAATATGCTATGATACATTTGCTGATACAGATTTAGAAACTGATTCATGAATCTTTAGGAATGCAGTGACAACTCAGCCTGAGATTCTAAGACAGGATTGAAGCTTGAAGATAACCGAAGTACAAATTACAAGGTGAGCCTGATTTCTAAAACTTAGTAACAAAGGGGAAATTGAAAGTACATTGTTATAGGCTTTGAGACTCAAGATTTGATCAAGATATGAGTTTCAAGCTGGTACAGAAAGTGTCTCAAGAAAGTTGTGTGTGGCACAAGAATTCATTCAAAGAGCAACATAGATGAATTCAAGTGAAATGTGAAGTCATCGAATGAAGTGTTAATTTGGCATTGAGGTCTCAATGATAAGATCCAAGAAGGGAGAAAAAATAAATGTGGGCTATGACTTCATTAAAGTAAGCACATCGGACGTTTCAAAGGACTAAGTCTTCCGTGAAACAGGAAGCAGTTATGTAACATAACACAGGTTGTAACAAACAGTGGGTGGATGTGTCATGTGTCAGACGGGAGTAATAACCCGTTAGAATAAAAAAACAAGGACACCGTGAATTCGTGGTAGTATATACGGGGTCGAATCGCAAAGGACAGAATGGTTACACTAGACCAGGAGAAGAAAAAAGAAGAATAGGATACGGTGAAGGTGAAAAGACTTCTAAAAGGTTTTATTTTTAGGGTTCCTTGAAGCTATCCCACTTATTATTGTTCTATGATGTACCATTAATTAGTTATAGGAGATCTCTCATATATAGTGAATAAGATTTTGTAAAACGTTATTCTAAACTAAGCAATTGTGTGAAATTGAGTTAATAACTAACATTTTTTTTATCTAATTTCCTTAGATAGAATCCATCTTCATTGATGATCTTTTGAAAATAATCAAACAGTATCAATGAATTCGCGAGAATCTGTTCTTTTCTTACTGATTTTGTGGCTATGTATAATTTTAGGGGAGAAGATGTGAGCACTGAAAATCTGCATCAAGGTTTCACATGCACACATATCTTTGAATCCACATTTGAGAGCAAAGAAGCTGTTGCAGAGTATAGTGCTCATCTTGCTCATCCTGCTCCCGTTGAATTCGCCACCTTCTTCCTTGGCATCTTGGATAAAGTCTTGGATATAGACTACAAGCCTACCTCTGTCTCTCTCTAATTATGTTGCAGCAGCATTTTCATTTTTGATCTTCCTTTTTTTTTTATCTCGGGTATGTATGTCTCTTGTGATCATGTTGAGTAAAGTAATTTCCTTTTGAGTTATGATGACCTTTGGTTTTACCTGAATTGTTCTCATGTTTCTGTGCGAATTTCTTCTATCTTTTTTTTTTTTTTGGTTTCTGTAACGCCCCGACCGGTCCACTACGTCCGGGAGGCTTTAAATACTTGTTTATCGACCCTACAAATCACCACATGATCTTTCCCTGTGTTTTGTTTTCACTTACACAGCTCCGACAATCACTTCCCGGAAGGTCACCCATCCTTAAATTGCTCCAGTTCAAGCACGCT